AAAAAATTAAAAAGTAAACATAAAGAAAATAAAAAAAAAATAAAAAAGGTAAAAGTTGTAAAATAAATATGTAATAAAATAGAAAAATTTTTTTAATAAAATAGTAATAAAATTTTGAACAAATATTGTAACATTTAGCAAAATTTTTTCAAAAATACATTTGTGCAAATTAAAAAAAAATAAATAGAATTTCTCTTTCAAAAAATAGAAACATTCAAAGCGACATACCTCATGTTCAAGCAAGAAGAATCAGCTTCTGAATGAGCGGATTTAATTCTTCAAACCAGTTTTATTGTGTAGAATCCCTCCAATAAAAACCTGGCGTGAAAACCGATAAAAGAAGCTTATTGGCCTGTGACAACCAATCAAATTCATGCATAACAATAAACCAATAGACAACCAGCTGGTGGCACGACATGTAAGCGTAATTTTGTATTTGTGGACAACAATGCAAAATCTATATTGTGCTGTTTCTTTTCGCCTTTCAAAGTCAGTTGAGACAACTAAAGACACTACTTCTTTTCAGAAATCAAGTACGGACGTTCAGGAGTATTCTGCCTCTAAAATTTTAGAAAAGACTGCTTTATTTTAGCAGTAATATCGTCGTGAAACTAAAAGGTGACGTTGTTCAACATCCAACAGCTTCAAGTCGAAGTACAAACTGAAAGATTGTATCGACTTGGATTTTACAAGATGGTTAGTAAAACTTAGTATTTTTGCAAAATCTGTCATCAGTCACTAACGAAAAGCTGACAGGCAAGCCCATTGAAAATAACTTCACTATGTCTCACAAATTTCTCCCAACGTCGATCGATACATTGAGAAAGAATTACCGGTTACTTATGCCATATGCGGTTTTGTCATTGTGATTTTGATTGCTTACTTGATCAAGCAAGCAAGCAAAATCACAATGAAGTCCCTGAAACATTGTTATATTTATAACCAATCAAAACAGACGATAAAATAAAACCAACCAATCAAAACAGATGATAAAATAAAACCAACCAATCAAAACAGATGATAAAATAAAACTAACCAATCAAAACAGATGATAAAATAAAACCAACCAATCAAAACAGTTGATAAAAGAAAAGCAACCAATCAAAACAGATGATAAAATAAACCAACCAATCAAAACAGATGATAAAAGAAAACCAACCAATCAAAACACACATCGGCATTACCTCGTCTCGACTTATAAGTTCGTTTGAAAACGTAAGTCCAGGCATCAAATTTCGTTTTTTCAACCAGAAAATTGAAGCAAAAGATCCAGAGAAAAATATTCCTTCAACAGCAGCAAATGCTACGATTCGTTCACCAAAAGAAGCCTGTATTGGAATAATGTCATATCTGAGCCTTTATCGAAGTAATGTTGACTGCTGACCAGTTAAATCACATGACTTACCTTATCAGGATTGATCCAGTCAAGTGCCCAGTCTGCCTTCTTTTTCACTCATGGTAGATGTTCAATAGCATTAAATAACCTTTCTCGTTCACTTGGCTCTTTGATGTAGGTGTCTATCAACAGGCTGTACATTTCAGAATGAATGAATGTTACAGAAGCTAGATGTTTTTACGGCTTTCAAATAGCAATAAAAACATCTAGCTTCTGTAACCTGCATTCTTGCATGAAGTACAGGTTACAGAAGCTCGATGTTTTTCGTTCGACCATGTTTTCGTTCACAATGCCATCACTGGCAGGGAAAATTCTCTGAAATCCCTCAAGTTCCTCTCTGTCTTTCATCAAACTTTCAAAGTTCACTCCGTCTGGAGGGACTGGTAACGAGTTTTTAACATCTTCCACATCGTATCTTCCACTTTCGAAATTTTCTTTTCCTTCTTGATCGTCCAACTGTCGAAAGATAGACAATAAATAGTTGGGTGAACGAAATTTCATCATAAAGACTAAAGTCAGTTCGGGAAAGTAAAACGATAAAACGATAAATATGATGTTAAAATTATAATTTCATTGAAAAGAACTCGTAAAATGACGGTGAGTTTAATCATAACTCTGCATTTTCAAGATTTGTGGAGGAAGTGACGTCACTTTTGCATAATGAGAATTTCTGCATACGTGTTTCATTCAAATTATAAATTTGCAGCAACTCATTATGCAACGTGAGGTCACTTTCTCCATAAATGGGACATCACACAACTTTAATAAGTTGAGAATGCAAAGAGATAAGACAAAACTGTTTTACAAAGTCCACTGTTATTTTAAAAGCTCCTATTAATGAAACTATAATTTTGAAAGCTAATTTTTTCCTTTACACTGGTCCTTAACGTCTGTCAACTAGAAGTCTAGAACGAATAGGAATGACTTCATAAAAGCAGGTTCACCCCAAGAATACTAACATACAGTAGACAATTTCTGGGTTTTTTTATGCAAGCGAGCACTCATGCAAGTGTCAGAAGCGTGCACCCCCGGATTATTATTTGGCTCACAGAAGATTCTAACAAAACACTATTAGGTGAGGAGAGAAAAACTGTCCAGGTAGGGGAGAAAAACTGTCCAGGGTGGGGAGAAAAAACTGTCCAGAGAGGGAAGAAAACTGTCCAGGGGAGAGAGAAAAAACTGTCCAGGGAGGAGAAAAACTGTCCAGGGAGAGAAAAATTGTCCAAGGGAGAGAAAAACTGTCCAAGTAGGGTAGAAAAACTGTCCATGGAGGGAAACTACCTCTCGGTTTAGTTTTGTGGTAAATCACTGAAATATTTGCACATGCACAAAAATCACTGATGATAACTTTCTCTATGTTAAAATTTTGTGATTTTACCGCAATAAACTCTGACGAGTGTTGGAAGTTTAGAAACACGTGAAACACAAAATTGAAAATTCTGTTTCAAGTTTTACAATGAACTTACTTCGTTCGATAACAAAGATATTTTTCGTCGTGAATTGTTGTCGTTCAATTTCACCGTAATGTAACGCAACTGTTCACTCTTTGGTATCTAAGATATTGCAGAGAAACGAGCAAACAAGACAGAGACACAACACCAAATCAAACAACAACAAAAACTTGAACGTTTAAAACAAACTAAAACACGAACAAGACATAAACATGACGATAACTGGGTGAGGAATATTTCTTCCCGCTCATTAGACGAAACTGAAACGCGACTACTATCTTACGGACTAAAACATTCCATAACACCTAAACGAATCCCGACTGAGACGATAGTATCAAGTGTCGAGGCTGTCCTAGCGTATCAAAGAGACTTGTCAGAGACAACCAAAGACGAGATCAGAAGCAGGATAGCCTCCAACTATATACTAGTGTCTTTTGATGTGAAATCACTGTTCACCAGTATTCCACTTAATCTGGCACTTACTTGTACAAAAACCCTCATTACAAACACCACGGACGTACTGCCATTACCGACAGAAGACATTATGGAGCTACTGGAGCTCTGCCTCACCTCGACTTACTTCCAATACAAAGGAACACACTACAAACAATTACATGGCACGGCAATGGGCTCGCCCGTTTCTGTTGTAGTTGCTGAAATTGTAATGCAATCTATAGAGGAACGGGCGCTCACGACTTACAAACATGCACTACCTTTTTGGTTTCGCTACGTAGATGACACAATCACAGCACTACGTGCAGACGACATTGATGACTTTCATACTCACATCAACAATCAGAACAGCCACATACAATTTACCAAAGATGTCGAAGAAAACGGAACTCTTCCTTTTCTCGACTGTTTGGTAAAACATGACAATCAAAAACTACGAACAACAGTTTATCGCAAGCCAACACATACTGACCGACTACTAGACCAATCATCTTACAGCCCTACATCACACAAAGCCACCACAATCAGAACATTAACAAGACGTGCACAAATCATATGTGATTCACCGGACGCTCTACAAAACGAAAACAACTGTCTTAAACGTGTTTTTGACAAAAACAACTATAACTCTGACTTTATCAAACGCAACACTTACAAACACAACCAACCCAACGAAACGAACAACTTAGTGACAACAGCGACGATACCTTACATCAAAGGTACGTCTGAGACTATCTCGCGTATCTTACGACCATACAACATACGTGTCGCACATAAACCAATCACAACGTTACGACAAGTACTAACGAAAATAAAGGACAAAGAACAACCCAACGAACGACAAGGTGCAGTTTACAAAATAAACTTCTCCGACTGCCACGCCTCCTATATCGGGGAAACTGGCAGGAACTTAAACATAAGACTTACTGCACACAAACGAGCTACTAAGAAACAAGACAAAACTAATCACATTGCCGAACATTACCGAATGACAAAGCACAACATTGACTGGGACTCGGCAAAATTCATTACTTACAGTACTGACTATAGACAACGGCTTACATTAGAAAGTTGGTATACCAACTTGGAACAAACCCCCCTGAACAAATCACAGCAATTACTGGCACCTTACAAACGACTTATTCACAATACAAACAAACGATCAACTAAAAACATTACACTTCACACTAATTCACAATGACAATACAGATTTCCTGTACACACAATACAATGACGTAAGAACCAGATAACAAATACGGCTAACCTGACGTTTACTCCTCATTTGACTCTGAAAATGACTACCGCTAAGGTTGTCGAAACGTCAGTCAACAACAACAAAAACAGTCTTTCTCAGGACTATACCAACCTGGACGATCATCATTTACAAACATGTAACGATACTCCCGGGTTCAAACCATTTACTTTATTAAGATATGAAACTTCGTTTATACTGATCAGCGTTAACAATTAGATCATATATCTGTCTCAGCCTCCCCATCTCGTCTGCGTTCTTACTATCCAACTTCCCACACTATGTATCTCTATCATGGAGTTTTGATTAATTCATAAATTCCTCACCATTTCGTATTCCTTTCGTTCATCACGGCAAAGACTATCCCATGGTTCTTTGAGGCACGTCAACACGTGATCAATTTCGTCATCAAACAGATCTTCGTATGGCGGATCCAAGTGTTTCTTTATATTTTCTCTGACGTTGGACGAAACGTTGATATCACAGACGCTCCCTGGAGCTAAGAATCTTTCGTATATCCACTAAAATATAATGAAATTAGGCTCATCATATCTTCATACAAAATAACAAACCTGTTATATCAATCAAAATCCCCAAAAATATTCCCAGTTCACATTCTATATCCCCTAAAATCCCATAAAACATTCACAGTGTACAATTTATACCTCCAAAATCCTTCAACACATTCACAGTTCACATTTGTATCCCCCAAAATCCACAAACACATTCACAGTTCACATTTTATATCCTCCAAAATCCCCAAACACATTCACAGTTCACATTTTATATCCTCCAAAATCCCCAAACACATTCACAGTTCACATTTGTATCCCCAAAATCCCCAAACACATTCACAGTTCACATTTTATATCCTCCAAAATCCCCAAACACATTCACAGTTCACATTTTATATCTCCATAATCCCCAAACACGTTCATAGTTCACATTTAACACTCCCCAAAATCCCCAAACAAATTCACAGTTCATAATTTATATCCCCAAAATTCCCCAAACACATTCACAGTTCACAATCTAGCCTACTTTTATTTAAACATCAATTTAGAGTTTGAACTTTGAAAACGTTAAAGCTAACAAAGCTTTCTAAAGATGTTAAAAATCTTCACCTTGGCCTTGAAAATCACAGTTTCAGAACAGAAGGGACCACTTTCGAAACAAGCGGAATAGTCTCGCGTCGCTTACCAGAAAGACAGGCAGTTGGACCAGAACTAAACGGACAAAATTGAAAAAGTAAGAGAAAATTAATCATAACCCTGAAGACAAGAATCATAGGAAAAGATCCTGTTCAAAAATCAAAACAAGATATTATAGACTGCAAGAAAATCGACTTTTGAAAGAAGGATTAAAACGTGGATACCAACTTGGAACAAACCCCCCTGAACAGATCACAGCAATTACCGGCACCTTACAAACGACTTATTCACAATACAAACAAACGATCAACTAAAAACATTACAATACACAATTGACACCTACACATTACAACTAAAAACATCACACCTAAATCACACATCACAACTAAAAACATTACACTTCACACTAATTCACAATGACAATACACAATTGACACCCACACATTACAACTAAAAAAATCGCACCTAAATCACACATCACAACTAAAAACATTACACTTCACACTAATTCTCAACGACAATACACAATTGACACCCACACATTTCCTGTACACACAATGCAATGACGTAAGAACCAGATAACAATTACGGCTAACCTGACGTTTACTCCTCATTTGACTCTGAAGATGACTACCGCTAAGGTTGTCGAAACGTCAGTCAACAACAACAAGTCCTTCTCAAGACTATACCAACCTGGACGATCTATATTTACAAACATGTAACGATACTCCCGGGTTCAAACCATTTACTTAAAGGATTAAAATGTTAAAACATGAAAAAAGAGAGTATAATTTACTTCGTTGCTTTCTTTTGATACGAAATCTTTCAGGAAACTTCCAGATTCGGTCTGGTACTCCAAACTATCACGAGCGACCACTCTACGTCATAGGTTTCGTCCTCCTCGACTGTATCACGTGACTGCTGTCCACGTGCATCGTCCATGAAGTCATACCATTTTTTGAAGAAATCATATAGTGAATATTCCAAATCCTGAGTCAATTTGATCATTTATGAAACATTAAAACTGACATTTGGTGACGGGGGGGGGGTTAGAATGACCGAGATAAGCGTCAGATGGGAAGAATGATTCATTAAATGTTTGAATAAGCCAATCAAAGAGTGATTACCTTTGTTCCAAGACTGTACTCAAACTGGGCGCGATTCTTGGAGCAATGACAAGTCTGATTGGTGAAAAATATTCCACGTCAGAACATCTTGGAAACGCGCTGATTGGTCGTTTTTGAAATCCGAATTTTCCATCTCTGGCGTTGCGTATATCTGAATAAAAATTTAGGACGTTTCTGCAATAAATTATCTCTTGATGCAACACAACTGTAGAAATCACATCATCCGTCACCTCAAGCTGTCGCTTCCCAGCGTTCGTGTGATAAGGCGTCGTCACTTTGCGTCCACGTGCTGACTTTGATCTCAGGTGCGTCGGTTTCCATTTGTTGCATGTGCGACTCACGTGTTGTAATGATATGTTGCTTTCCCAATGTGAACTACTGCTGGAATAACTAACTATACGGGATTGTGGTGTGTTGTATGAATGTGGTCTAGGGATGTATTGAGCGTTGAGGGATTGTGGTGTTTTGTAGGAGTGTGGTCTGTGGATGTATTGAGCGTTGAGGATTGTGGTGTGTTGTATGAGTTTTGTCTAAGGATGTATTGATCGTAGAGGGATTGTGGTGTGTTGTATGGATGTGGTCTAGGAATGAATTGAGCGTTGGTGGGATATGGTGAAATATGTATTGGTGTACAAATGTGTATTGATGGGGACATTTTTGAAGATGAATGAACTTTTTTCGAAATATTTACTTCATGCAACATGAACCTTTCACACCTATCGAACAAAAAGAATGTTCAGAGTTAATATTTGGGAAAGCTAAAAATGCTAGGCGAGAACTTTTTTAATGCAAGCGAGCTCAAGGATGACTGAAACTTTCAGAAAATCTATCTAGTATTTGTTTTCAGTTCCCCAAATGTTCACTATACATTATAAAAATGAATTACCAATAGTTTAACAATGGTTCTTCAACGATTTTCTGTGCTTCATTCATATCTTCAGCTAATCCTGATAACATGTCTTTCTTTATCTTACGTGGTAACTCCAATGGCGAACCATATTGTTGTTTCATTTCCAGAACATATCTACAGATGAGCAAGAAAAATGCGCATGTGCAGCTCAAATACCCGGTTATAAATGTACGACAGAGTTTCATGCAAAATTTTTCTGTTTCACACGAATTTTCCCTGTTTCACACAGTACTCCCTCCGTTTCACACGATATTTTCCCTGTTTCACACAGTACTCCTCCGTTTCACACGATATTTCCTTGTTTCACACAGTACTCCCTCTGTTTCACACGATATACTCTCACTTTTACACATTATCTCTGCTTCAAACGATGTTTACCTTTTTCTTTCTTCGCTATTTTTAATATGTTTCCAATACTCAATTTGCAGCCAAAGCAGAAGCAAACTTTCGCCTTTAGTGTCGACCAAGAAGTCTTTAAACTTGTCCATGGCTGTTTTTGATGAAAGCAAGGCCTTCCCGTTATCGTCATTATCATTGATTTTTCGATCGCTTTCCACTGAATTTTATTGCAAAGAATCCATGGAGCTTGTTCTATTATGCAAGAAACAATCTCCATCGTTTCTTTTCTTTACCAATTCATCATTTTTAAGCTCAACAAAGTCATCTGAATGTTCATTCTTGGATTTTTCTTCTTCATCAAATCCTTTCCCTATGTTACTGTTACCCGAGACATTTAATGTTAGCACTTTATCATTTGAAGCACCGTAAACATCTTCTCTAACGCCAATAGTTCTGACGTCAGCACCTGCGATGACGTCACCGCTTGTTTTGTCTTTTCTTTTGTAAGATTGTTTCTCTGTGCATGAGGGACTTGTACTTCTAAGCTGGTCGTCCAAATGACCGTTGAAACTTGTCTTTCACAAATGAAACAACGACACTACTGGTTGGCAACGACTGCAGTGAGTGACTAGAGCGAAGTAAGTATACTCAGGTCAATTTATAGCATAAATGTGATTTTTTGTTCATTCTTTATATTTGTGGATAATTCATCTTTCTGTTTTATAAATACGTACTTCATCCTTTCTGTGTCTAAGTGGGTATTTAGGTCAGTCGGGACTTATTGATGAAGTAAAAAAAAATACAAGTATATAAAGTATACACAAAAACATTTTAGTGATTTAGCGTTATTGCTATAGACATATGTGTGTTATATAATTTGTGATCATCTGAAGTAGGATTTCCAAAGCCAAAGTTACGAGACATGTATCATGCATAATAATGTTTCATCAAATATACCGGGCAGGATAACGGGAAGTGACGGGAAGTGGCGGGAAGCGAATTCTTAATATAAATATTAAGGTTGTTGACTGACGTTTCGACAACCTTAGCGGTAGTCATCTTCAGAGTCAAATGAGGAGTAAACGTCAGGTTAGCCGTATTTGTAGTCTGGTTCTTACGTCATTGTATTGTGTGTACAGGAAATGTGCAGGAAATGTGTATTGTCATTGTGGATTAGTGTGAAGTGAAATATTTTATTTTTAGTTGTGATGTGTGATTTGGGTGTGACGTTTTTAGTTGTAGTGTGTGGGTGTCAATTGTGTATTGTCATTGTGAATTAGTTTGAAGTGTAATGTTTTTAGTTGATCTTTTGTTTGTATTGTGAATAAGTCGTTTGTAAGGTGCCGGTAATTGCTGTGATCTGTTCAGGGGGGTTTGTTCCAAGTTGGTATACCAACTTTCTAATGTAAGCCGTTGTCTATAGTCAGTACTGTAAGTGATGCATTTTGCCGAGTCCCAGTCAATGTTGTGCTTTGTGATTCGGTGATGTTCGGCAATGTGATTAGTTTTGTCTTGTTTCTTAGTAGCTCGTTTGTGCTCAGTAAGTCTTATGCTTAAGTTCCTGCCAGTTTCCCCGATATAGGAGGCGTGGCAGTCGGAGCAGTTTATTTTGTAAACTGCACCTTGTCGTTCGTTGGGTTGTTCTTTGTCCTTTATGTTCGTTAGTACTTGTCGTAATGCTGTGATTGGTTTATGTGCGACACGTATGTTGTATGGTCGTAAGATACGCCAGTATTCCACTTAATCTGGCACTTACTTGTACAAAAACCCTCATTACAAACACCACGGACGTACTGCCATTACCGACAGAAGACATTATGGAGTTACTAGAGCTCTGCCTCACCTCGACTTACTTCCAATACAAAGGAACACACTACAAACAATTACAAGGGACAGCAATGGGCTCGCCCGTTTCTGTTGTAGTTGCTGAAATTGTAATGCAATCTATAGAGGAACGGGCACTCATGACTTAGAAACATGCACTACCTTTTTGGTTTCGCTACGTAGATGACACAATCACAGCACTACATGCAGACGAGATTGATGACTTCCATAATCACATCAACAAACAGAACAGCCACATACAATTTACCAAAGATGTCGAAGAAAACGGAACTCTTCCTTTTCTCGACTGTTTGGTAAAACATGACAATCAAAAACTAGGAACAACAGTTTATCGCAAGCCAACACATACTGACCGACTACTAGACCAATCATCTTACAACCCTACATCACACAAAGCCACCACAATCAGAACATTAACAAGACGTGCACAAATCATATGTGATTCACCGGACGCTCTACAAAACGAAAACAACTATCTCAAACGTGTTTTGACAAAACAACTATAACTCAGACTTTATCAAACGCAACACTTACAAACCCAACGAACCCAACAAACGAACAACTCAGTGACAACAGCAACGATACCTTACATCAAAGGTACGTCTGAGACTATCTCGCGTATCTTACGACCATACAACATACGTGTCGCACATAAACCAATCACAACATTACGACAAGTACTAACGAACATAAAGGACAAAGAACAACCCAACGAACGACAAGGTGCAGTTTACAAAATAAACTGCTCCGACTGCCACGCCTCCTATATCGGGGAAACTGGCAGGAACTTAAACATAAGACTTACTGAGCACAAACGAGCTACTAAGAAACAAGACAAAACTAATCACATTGCCGAACATCACCGAATCACAAAGCACAACATTGACTGGGACTCGGCAAAATGCATCACTTACAGTACTGACTATAGACAACGGCTTACATTAGAAAGTTGGTATACCAACTTGGAACAAACCCCCCTGAACAGATCACAGCAATTACCGGCACCTTACAAACGACTTATTCACAATACAAACAAAAGATCAACTAAAAACATTACACTTCAAACTAATTCACAATGACAATACACAATTGACACCCACACACTACAACTAAAAACGTCACACCCAAATCACACATCACAACTAAAAATAAAATATTTCACTTCACACTAATCCACAATGACAATACACATTTCCTGCACATTTCCTGTACACACAATACAATGACGTAAGAACCAGACTACAAATACGGCTAACCTGACGTTTACTCCTCATTTGACTCTGAAGATGACTACCGCTAAGGTTGTCGAAACGTCAGTCAACAACATCAAAAACAGTCCTTCTCAGGACTTTATTAACCTGGACGATCATCATTTACAAACATATAACGATACTCCCGGGTTCAAACCATTTACTTTATAAATATTAAGGCCTAGTTCAAACGTCGCATTTTACATGCGCCGAATCAAATGCGAGAATTATGTGCATGTAAAATGCGACGTTTGAATCAATTAAATTCGACGGATTTTAATTTAATGCGACTTTAGGCCCGGTTCAAACGTCGCATTTTACATGCGAATCAAATCTGAGTTTCAGTCGACTAAAATAGTTTTATGCGTAGTTTGATTCAGACGTCGAATTTAACAGTCGCATTTATTATAGTTATGCTTCCACTTTTTCATAGTTTATTCATTTTCTTGTACTAATTTCCTAAAATGGCGAACAGAAAATGTTGAGTTTATGCATTTCAAATATGATTCGTGTTAATAGGAAAAGACGAATATTGATACATGTTACAGCAAATAAACTATTAGAAACGAGACGGCAGCTTCTGCAAATTTCCCATGTTTTCTACCGTTAATTGCTCAAACAAAGCCTTCATACGTAGCCCTCCTTATCGATCATGTCGAAGACAAGATAGAAATTCCGGCTGGTGGAAGAAAGTTTGGAGTATTTATTCTGATCTTCGATTCAAAAACATTTCGTGTATCTCGAGGAAACTTTCCTTGTACATATAAATTTATTGCACTTTAAACAAGTGTATTTTGTTAAACTTGTACACGAAATACTCGCCGTCGCCATGTTTTTACAACTTTGCGCATGGCATTTAGCATGGAAATAATTGATTTTTGCTTAGAAATATCTTAAAATATCTAAAGTCGCATTAAATTAAAATCCGTCGAATTTAATTGATTCAAACGTCGCATTTTACATGCACATAATTCTCGCATTTGATTCGGCTCATGTAAAATGCGACGTTTGAACTGGGCCTCAAACGTCGCATTTTACATGAGCCGAATTAAATGCATAATTTATTTTAAGATATTTCTAAGCAAAAATCAATTGTTTCCATGCTAAATGCCATGCGCAAAGTTGTAAAAACATGGCGGCGGCGAGTATTTCGTGCACAAGTTTAACAAAATACACTTGTTTAAAGTGCAAAAAATTTATATGTACAAGGAAAGTTTCCTCGAGATACACGAAATGTTTTTTTGAATCGAAGATCAGAATAAATACTCCAAACTTTCTTCCACCAGCCGGAATTTCTATCTTGTCTTCGACATGATCGATAAGGAGGGCTACGTATGAAGGCTTTTGTTTGAGCAATTAACGGTAGAAAAACATGGGAAATTTGCAGAAGCTGCCGTCTCGTTTCTAATAGTTTATTTGCTGTAACATGTATCAATATTCGTCTTTTCCTATTAACACGAATCATATTTGAAATGCATAAACTCAACATTTTTCTGTTCGCCATTTTAGGAAATTAGTACAAGAAAATGAATAAACTATGAAAAAGTGGAAGCATAACTATAATAAATGCGACTATTAAATTCGACGTCTGAATCAAACTACGCATAAAACTATTTTAGTCGACTGAAACTCAGATTTGATTCGGCGCATGTAAAATGCGACGTTTGAACCGGGCCCAACAAAGTGCTTGTGTAAGAAACGGTAATATTCCATCGACGTCGTCACCGCCGCCGTTAGTTGAAAATGCTTCGTCTTGCATCGCCGCCTCTATCAGAGATTGTAGTTGTGACTGTTCGTCTTAAAAATGAGTGTCTTCATCAAATGCTGCCATAGCTTCGAATGATTGTCAGTGACGGTGAACGTCCTTTTATAATATTGTAATTGATATGCTTATTTACGTAAATCCGGTAGAAAGTATATGGCGTGATGTACAAAGTCCATCACGTGCTATCACGTGGAGGTCAAAGTCAACATGACTCAGCAAAATTACAAGGTCTCTAAAGGTCGATGCTAATAATAGTAACATGTTAATGCATAATTAAACGCATAATTAAATGCATAATTTATTTTAAGATATTTCTAAGCAAAAATCAATTATTTCCATGCTAAATGCCATGCGCAAAGTTGTAAAAACATGGCGACGGCGAGTATTTCGTGCACAAGTTTAACAAAATACACTTGTTTAAAGTGCAAAAAATTTATATGTACAAGGAAAGTTTCCTCGAGATACACGAAATGTTTTTTTGAATCGAAGATCAGAATAAATACTCCAAACTTTCTTCCACCAGCCGGAATTTCTATCTTGTCTTCGACATGATCGATAAGGAGGGCTACGTATGAAGGCTTTTGTTTGAGCAATTAACGGTAGAAAAACATGGGAAATTTGCAGAAGCTGCCGTCTCGTTTCTAATAGTTTATTTGCTGTAACATGTATCAATATTCGTCTTTTCCTATTAACACGAATCATATTTGAAATGCATAAACTCAACATTTTTCTGTTCGCCATTTTAGGAAATTAGTACAAGAAAATGAATAAACTATGAAAAAGTGGAAGCATAACTATAATAAATGCGACTGTTAAATTCGACGTCTGAATCAAACTATGCATAAAACTATTTTAGTCGACTGAAACTCAGATTTGATTCGGCGCATGTAAAATGCGACGTTTGAACCGGGCCCAACAAAGTGCTTGTGTAAGAAACGGTAATATTCCATCGACGTCGTCACCGCCGCCGTTAGTTGAAAATGCTTCGTCTTGCATCGCCGCCTCTATAGAGATTGTAGTTGTGACTGTTCGTCTTAAAAATGAGTGTCTTCATCAAATGCTGCCATAGCTTCGAATGATTGTCAGTGACGGTGAACGTCCTTTTATAATATTGTAATTGATATGCTTATTTACGTAAATCCGGTAGAAAGTATATGGCGTGATGTACAAAGTCCATCACGTGCTATCACGTGGAGGTCAAAGTCAACATGACTCAGCAAAATTACAAGGTCTCTCAAGGTCGATGCTAATAATAGTAACATGTTATTATAAATAGTAAGAAAGGTCAAAGGTCAAGTACCTCTGAAGTTCTGTCCAATGGATATAAAATATGATTTTATTTTAGAAAGTTCACTGTCATAAAAGTTCTGTCCAATGGATTTAAAATATGATTTTATTCTAGAAAGTTCACTGTCATAAAAGTTCTGTCTAATGGATATAAATATGATTTTATTCTAGAAAGTTCACTGTCATAAAAGTTCTGTCCAATAGATATAAAATATGATTTTATTCTAGAAAGTTCACTGTCATAATCCATTGTAGCAACGCTTTCGTGAAGTCATTATCGAAAATTTGTAGCTTTGAATGCAATAAAAGCAACAAATAAACACTGACCCTCAATTTCACAATAACAAAGCCATGACTGACTTTACTGATTCTAGCAAAACATCCGGTGGAAACTATCGGTATTCGCCGATTATTATTCGATTTCTGTCGTGAAAATGGTTTGTGACGTAATCAGTTTTCCGACCTATGACCCTGGAATATGACAACAATTCTTTTCACGTCTTGAAAACATTTTGGATTTTTATGTAAATGAGGCATAAGAGCGCAATAAGAGGCAATAAAAATATGCTTTTTCACAAATAGAAAATACGACATCGAAAAGTAGATTTGTTCTAATTAGTTAATATTTCAATTATCATTATGTTCACGGCACACTTGTACAAATTATAGATATTTATAATTTATAAGGAATTGAAGGAAGATTTAAATCATACAATTCAATAAGAAAATTCCAATAAAAAAGTACGAGTAAAAATATTAAATATTCAGTCTGACTTTCTGCTCCATCGACGTCGTCACTTCCGCCGTTAGTTGGAAATGCTTCGTCTTGCATCGCCGCCTCTATCAGAGATTGTAGTTGTAATTGTTCGTCTTAAAAATGAGTGTCTTCATCAAATGCTGCCATCGCTTCGAATGATTGTCAGTGACGGTGAACGTCCTTTTATAATATTGTAATTGATATGCTTATTTACGTAAATCCGGTAGAAAGTATATGGCGTGATGTGCAAATTCCATCACGTGCTATCACGTGGAGGTCAAAGTCCACATGACTCAGCAAAATTACAAGGTCGCTCAAGGTCGATGCTAATAATAGTAACATGTTACTATAAATAGTAAGAAAGGTCAAAGGTCAAGTACCTCTAAAGTTCTGTCCAATGGATATAAAATATGATTTTATTCTAGAAAGTTCACTGTCATAAAAGTTCTGTCTAAAATAATAAAATATGATGCCGAGTCCCAGTAAATGTTGTCCTTTGTGATTTGGTGATGTTCGGCAATGTGATTAGTTTTCGGCATCAAAATTGACCGCATCAAAATTGACCGCATCAACATTGACCGCATCAAAGTTGACCGCATCAACATAGACCCCATCAAAGTTGACCGCATCAACATTGACCGCATCAACATTGACCGCATCAAAGTTGACCGCATCAACATTGACCGCATCAAAGTTGACCGCATCAAAGTTGACCGCATCAAAATTGACCGCATCAAAATTGACCGCATCAAAATTGACCGCATCAACATTGACCGCATCAACATTGACCGCATCAACATTGACCGCATCAACATTAACCGCATCAACATTGACCGCATCAACATTGACCACATCAACATTGACCGCATCAAAATTGACCGCATCAACATTGACCGCATCAAAATTGACCGCATCAAAATTGACCGCATCAACATTGACCGCATCAACATTGACCGCATCAACATTGACCGCATCAACATTGACCGCATCAACATTGACCGCATCAACATTGACCGCATCAAAATTGACCGCATCAAAATTGACCGCATCAAAATTGACCGCATCAAAATTGACCGCATCAAAATTGACCGCATCAACATTAACCGCATCAAAGTTGACCGCATCAAAGTTGACTGCATCAACATTGACTGCATCAAAATTGACCGCATCAAATTGACCGCATCAACATTGACTGCATCAACATTGACCGCATCAACATTGACCACATCAACAGTAACCGCATCAACAGTGACCACATCAACATTGACCGCATCAACATTGACCGCATCAACATTGACCACATCAACATTGACCGCATCAACATTAACCGCATCAACAGTAACCGCATCAACAGTAACCGCATCAACATTGACCGCATCAACATTGACCGCATCAACATTGACCGCATCAACATTGACCGCATCAACATTGACCGCATCAAAGTTGACCGCATCAAAGTTGACCGCATCAAAATTGACCGCATCAACATTGACCGCATCAACATTGACCGCATCAACATTGACCGCATCAAAATTGACCACATCAAAATTGACCGCATCATCATTGACCGCATCAAAGTTGACCGCATCAAAGTTGACTGCATCAACATTGACTGCATCAAAATTGACCGCATCAAAATTGACCGCATCAACATTGACCGCATCAACATTGACCGCATCAACATTGACCACATCAACAGTAACCGCATCAACAGTGACCACATCAACATTGACCGCATCAACATTGACCGCATCAACATTGACCGCATCAACCGCATCAACATTGACCACATCAACATTGACCGCATCAACATTGACCGCATCAAATTGACCGCATCAACATTGACCGCATCAACATTGACCGCATCAACATTGACCGCATCAACGCATCCGCATCAACATTGACCATCAACATTGACCGCATCAACATTGACGCATCAACATTGACCGCATCAACATTGACCGCATCAACATTGACGCATCAACATTGACCGCATCAACATTGACCGCATCAACCGCATCAACATTGACATCAACATTGACCGCATCAACATTGACCGCATCAACATTGACCGCATCAACATTGACCGCATCAAAGTTGACCGTTGACCGCATCAAAATTGACCGCATCAACATTGACCGCATCAACATTGACCGCATCAAAATTGACGCATCAAAATTGACCGCATCAACATTGACCGCATCAACATTGACCGCATCAAAATTGACCGCATCAAAATTAACGCATCAACATTGACCGCATCAACATTGACCGCATCAACATTGACCGCATCAACATTGACCGCATCAAGTTGACCGCATCAACATTGACCGCATCAAAGTTGACCGCATCAAATTGACCGCATCAAATTGACCGCATCAAATTGACCGCATCAACATTGACCGCATCAACATTGACCGCATCAAAATTGACCGCATCAAACATCATTGACCGCATCAACATTGACATCAACATTGACCGCATCAACATTGACGCATCAACATTGACCGCATCAAAATTGACCGCATCAAAATTGACCGCATCAACATTGACCGCATCAACATTGACCGCATCAACATTGACGCATCATCAACATTGACCGCATCAACATTGACCGCATCAACATTAACCGCATCAACATTGACCGCATCAAAATTGACCGCATCAAAATTGACCGCATCAACATTGACAGCATCAAATTGACCGCATCAACATTGACCGCATCAACATTGACAGCATCAAAATTGACCGCATCAACATTGACCGCATCAACATTGACCGCATCAACATTGACTGCATCAACATTGACCGCATCAACATTGACCGCATCAAAATTGACCGCATCAAAATTGACCGCATCAACATTGACTGCATCAACATTGACCGCATCAACATTGACCACATCAACAGTAACCGCATCAACAGTGACCACATCAACATTGACCGCATAAACATTGACCGCATCAAAGTTGACCGCATCAAAGTTGACCGCATCATTGTTGACCGCATCAAAGTTGACCGCATCAAAGTTGACCGCATCAAAATTGACCGCATCAACATTGACCGCATCAACATTGACCGCATCAAAATTGACCGCATCAACATTGACCGCATCAACATTGACCGCATCAACATTGACCACATCAACAGTAACTGCATCAACAGTGACCACATCAAAATTGACCGCATCAACATTGACCGCATCGAAATTGACCGCATCAACATTGACCGCATCAACATTGACCGCATCAACATTGACCGCATCAACATTGACCGCATCAAAATTGACCGCATCAACATTGACCGCATCAACATTGACCGCATCAACATTGACCACATCAACAGTAACTGCATCAACAGTGACCACATCAAAATTGACCGCATCAACATTGACCGCATCGAAATTGACCGCATCAACATTGACCGCATCAACATTGACCGCATCAACATTTACCGCATCAAAATTGACCGCATCAAAATTGACCGCATCAAAATTGACCGCATCAAAATTGACCGCATCAACATTGACCGCATCAACATTGACCGCATCAAAATTGACCACATCAACATTGACTGCATCAACATTGACCGCATCAAAATTGACCGCATCAAAATTGACCGCATCAAAATTGACCGCATCAAAGTTGACCGCATCAAAATTGACCGCATCAACATTGACCGCATCAAGACCGCATCAAAGTTGACCGCATCAAAGTTGACCGCATCAAAATTGACCGCATCAACATTGACCGCATCAACATTGACCGCATCAACATTGACCGCATCAACATTTACCGCATCAACATTGACAGCATCAACAGTAACCGCATCAAAATTGACTGCATCAACATTGACCGCATCAACATTAACCGCATCAACATTGACCGCATCAACATCGACCGCATCAACATTAACCGCATCAACATTGACCGCATCAACATTGACCGCATCAACATTGACCACATCAACAGTAACTGCATCAACAGTGACCACATCAAAATTGACCGCATCAACATTGACCGCATCAAAATTGACCGCATCAACATTGACCGCATCAACATTTACCGCATCAAAATTGACCGCATCAAAATTGACCGCATCAACATTGACCGCATCAATATTGACCGCATCAATATTGACCGCATCAAAATTGACCGCATCAAAATTGACCGCATCAAAGTTGACCACATCAACATTGACTGCATCAACATTGACCGCATCAAAATTGACCGCATCAAAATTGACCGCATCAACATTGACCGCATCAAAATTGACCACATCAACATTGACTGCATCAACATTGACCGCATCAAAATTGACCGCATCAAAATTGACCGCATCAAAATTGACCGCATCAAAGTTGACCGCATCAAAATTGACCGCATCAACATTGACCGCATCAAGACCGCATCAAAGTTGACCGCATCAAAGTTGACCGCATCAACATTGACCGCATCAACATTGACCGCATCAACATTGACCGCATCAACATTTACCGCATCAACATTGACAGCATCAACAGTAACCGCATCAAAATTGACTGCATCAACATTGACCGCATCAACATTAACCGCATCAACATTGACCGCATCAACATCGACCGCATCAACATTAACCGCATCAACATTGACCGCATCAACATCGACCGCATCAACATAGACCGCATCAACATTGACCGCATCAACATTGACCGCATCAACATTAACCGCATCAACATAGACCGCATCAACATTGACCGCATCAACATAGACCGCATCAAAGTTGACCGCATGAACATCGACCGCATGAAAATTGAATTCCGTTCCAACATGCGAAGTTTCCACGGTCTTCTAAAATATCATCTTTATCTGCAATCTCTATCGGCACCGACACCGCTTTCTCAGGCGTCTTGAAATTGTCTTGTGTAAGAAACGGTAATATTCCATCGACGTCGTCACCGCCGCCGTTAGTTGAAAATGCTTCGTCTTGCATCGTCGCCTCTATCAGAGATTGTAGTTGTAACTGTTCGTCTTCAAAATGAGTGTCTTTATCAAATGCTGCCATCGCTTCGAATGATTGTCGGTGACGGTGAACGTCCTTTTTATAATATTGTAATTGATATGCTTATTTACGTAAATCCGGTAGAAAGTATATGGCGTGATGTACAAAGTCTATCGCGTGGAGGTCAAAGTTCACATGACTCAGCAAAACTCATTGAGCTCTATAAGACCTGGAGGGGCAAAGGGGCCTGGGCCTCGTGGTCAAAAACATGGCGGTAATGGCGGATTTTGGTGGTCAAAACTTCCACTTTAAAAATTTTTTTCAATATTCACTCCCTCCTGATTTCTAATACTGTTTGTATGAACGAAATAAGTGAGAAAAACAAATTAATTACGATACCGACAGCATATCATGTGAAATTAATGTTTCAGCATTGCGTGAAAAACACAGTACAGACACACATCAAAATTAAGAAGATCGACGGTAGAGGAACACATATTTTGGATGTAACATTTAAGTTATTTTATGACATTTTAGCCTTTTAAAAGTGAAAATCAAACGGCATTCTTTACTAGACCTGTCAATCTCGTCAAACTTATACATT